ATGGATTATCTATTTGTTATGAATTAAACATATTATAAATTAATAAATTTTTAGAACTTTCAGTTCGGAAGTCAAAGACTTCCAAAAAAAAAAAACTTCCCATAATGTTTAGCATGGTGCATCCGAATAAAAAGCCTTTTTATATTTTAACTCAATATTTCAAAAGTTTATCCTTAACTTTACACTTTCAACTTGATCCTTCGAAAGCTTTAGTCATATCTTCAAGCTTTTAACTCAAACCACAAAGCCCATGTATTCAAAATATCAACTTATTAACTATAATATTCCTTCCGTTCCAAAAATAAGTTTATTTTTCATTTATCCCACACATATCAATAAAAAACCAAAAAAAAACTGGAACACCCTCACTTCATCAAATCCAAATACAATTATTCTCCACTTATCTACTCATAATGCATTTAACCTCTATTTTTACAAACTCCGACGTAATGATTGCTGAAAACTGAACTTATTTTGAGACAAACGGGAGAGGCAAATAGGACAGAGGGAGTATCAAAACTTTCTACTCAAAATACTAAGCGTCGAAATCAACATCAATATATTATTTCACCTAAAACTAGTTGAATAGTCCTAAATCCAACCGATAAAGAACAATTTCCCCTGCCAATGAGAGATCATGGGGAAGATGGCTTACAAAGGAGGGAGGAGGATGAGTGAGGGAGATCATAGCGCAGGGGGTAGTGGAGGGATATTAGAGTTGTTTATTAAGCTCTGGTATCCCTTCTTACTATAAAGTTATAACACACTAAGTGCAATTAAGATCCTAAAGCTCAAACCTCATTGTGCCATGTCATCATTAATTCTCAGTCATTGGATCAGCAGATTTGATCATCTTTAAACCGTTGGATGAAAAAACACAGCCCAATCCATCTCGCATAGTCACCACGGGAGGCCCATCTAATTTGATTGTGGCCCAATTCAATAGTGATGGATTTTTATACCACTTCAATTTACCAAATGCAACCACGAATCTCAACAAAATATCCCGTTGCAACGCGCGGGGTTTCAACTAGTTTCACTTAAAGGAGGAGGTGTGACGCTCGGGTTCGAACCTGAGAGGGCATACATACAGCTCGTCAACTTGCTTAGCCAATCGAGCAAGCGCTCGTCTACATTTGTCTACATTTTGCTGGTATTCCGTTGGTTGTTTCTGTTGATTGGAGCAAGGAGCCAAGCATCAGAGAGGGAAAGTGTTAAGACTCTCGATTGGAACAAGGAGCCGAGCAGGGAGGGGATGAGTAAAGGCTTAGTCTCAAAGGGATATATAAGGTTCGCTCGTTTCTTCCCTCATGAATATTAGCGAAAGAGGTACTCTCCATTTGTCCATGGTTGTATGAAAAATAAGTTTTTATATGGTATAGAAAGGTTTTTTTTCCCCTCATTGTCGTGTAAGTGATATTACGTTTTTCTAACTTTTGCTTCAATGTGCCCGCCTTTGTACCTTTAAAATAATGGGATACAACCACTATTTAATGGGACAAAACCATGGATTATCTTCTACTTCATCCGTCCCAAAATAAAAAAAAAAGTAGTACAGTATGTGACACGGACGCCGTCGTAGGACACTTCGACACGGTGCCCGTCACCCGAGCTCGATCGCCACCGGTGTTCTATCCGTGACTTCGGAGATCGATCTGCGCTGCTGGAGATTGATCCGCGAGGCTGGAGCTCAATGAACGACTTCGGAGCTCGATTTTGTGATGCAAAGATCAATCTGCGTCGTAGGCACTCGATCCAATTCGCAACATCAAAAATCCATCCGCGCCCGCTGGAGATCGACCCATGTCACTGGAGATCAATGCGTGCTGCTTGAGATCGATCCATGCCGCTAGTGCTCCAGAGGAGGAGGAGGAGGAGGAGGAGGGGTGGCACAGCGGCCGGAGGGAGATGAGGAGAGGTGTGGCGTTTAGAGAAGGAGAAGGGGAATCTCTACGACATACGAGAGGGAGACAGAATGGGGGAGGGACGGCGAAGGCATGATGGCGTATGAATGCTAACGCTTATAGGGGTGGGAATGGAGATATCTAGCTGACAGTAGTTGATATGTTGGTTTTATTTGTTATCACATGATCTAAATTGTAAAAATATTCAGTTGTATTGCTAATAAAAAATACTACATAGAGAGACCGACTTATGAAGAAAAATCCAAGGGCTGAAATAGGAAAGTACTTGAGGTGGTCTCCATTGTGGATTGAGTCTCCTAGAAGTGACATCATACCACATGATATACCTTTTGACATGATCAGGCCCCTCCTTGGAGGGGCTTGCATTGCTAATGCCCTAGGCTGTGTTTGATACTTGGGGTTGGGAACCCAACTCCACCGCACGGAAAACGGAGCGGTCCATTAGCGTGTGATTAATTAAGTATTAGTTAATTTTTTTTTCAAAAATGGATTAATTTGTTTTTTTAAAGCAACTTTTGTATAGAAACTTTTTGCAAAAAAATACACCATTTAGCAGTTTGAAAAGCGTGCACGCGGAAAACGAGGGAAAGGGGTTGGGAAACTTGTGGAAAGAACGCAGCCTAAGAAAACAAGTGAAGAAACTGATCCCATACATAGTTCTTGAGCTCTCGAATTAAAGAGATCATGTGTACATGTTTCTTAAATCTAGATCAGCCCCACTTATGAAACCTTTAGTAATCCTATACACTGCTTTATTTTTCACAAGATAATACTACCTCCGTCCCAAAATATAACAATTTCTAGCTATGAATCTAGACATAAATATAACAATTTCTACCTCCGTCTCAAGATTCATTGCTAGAAATGCTTATATTCTGGGACGAAAGGAGTATCATTTTAGTGGGACCCACACACATAACCTCCTCAACTAAACACTACTCATGCCCTTAGAGTGATTGTTATATGCCTTAGTATCACTGCTGAGTACACAATGCCAGTTTTTTTAACCTAGAACAATGGGCTTTGTGGTAGCGACTGTTACCTCAGTTCGCCAACAGTTGTGCCGCCCTTCTACCTAGGTCCAGCTCTAGACCTAGGCTAGTTGTGCAACCGTCTAGGACCCATGACCGGTAGGGGCCTGCCTGATTATCTTCCACCTAGTTATCGAGATCAACCACCTAAAGTAGAGTAGTGTTGCGTCCTGCCATCTAAGGCTGAGTGCGTGCGACTATGATACAACTTCAATTAAGTCACGCCGAACTATAGATCTCGTTCGACTCAAGCTCTCAACTCCTCATCTCCTTATCTCAACCTCTCCTCACCGGTCACCACGGTAGACGAGGGCATTAGATGGGACAGTGCTGACACAACGACATCACAACCACGGCTGGCCGTAGACCAACTGCAGCGCCTGATGAAGGCATAGGCAAGCGATGATAAATTGATGACTCAATCAATGATGCTTTAAAAAGGTGTAGAGGTACGTACATTACATACATACAGACCATGTTGTTTTTTCATCTATTTAGTCCAAAATTACATTGTTCCACAATCTATAAATGATGAATTGATGATGATCCATTTGTTAGCAGGTTAGAGTACTTGCTCTAAGGGCAGCTATAGTGTATGATCTGAGAGTTCGGTTCACAGGAGTCGAATGAAGCTTTGGTTCGATCCCAGCAGCGTAAGAATCGTTTTGTGGGACCCACGGGAAAATAGAACTCAATCTCACCTTTCCTCTCGCTCAGCAACAAATCTCTCTTTTTGAGATAATCCATTATATGCCACTGACTTTGTTGCACCTCTACGATTTGCCACTGACTTTGTCACGTTCTACAATATGTCATCGACTTTTGCTTAACTTCTACGATTTACCATCACCGTCCGGTTAGCTACCGTTAGTACTGTACAAATTTGTCAAAATGACCAAAATACCCCTATGACAAAAACTTCCAAAATTTGGATAAAATTATCAAAATATTATATTATAAACATAAGATTGTAAACATCCAAAATTTGACCAAAAACTTGAAATATGATATTTCATAATTTTTATCCAAATTTTGAAACCTTTTCTCCCAGGGGTATTTTGGTCATTTCGATAAATTTGTACAGTACTAACGGAGACTAACCGGACGGCGATGGTAAATTGTAGAAGTTAAGCAAAAGTCGATGGCATATTGTAGAACATGATAAAGTCAGTGGCAAATCGTAGACGTGTGATAAAGTCAGTGGTATATAATGGATTCTCTCAATATTTTTTTATGGTTTGTGTTCGACGTCTTGTTTGAAGTCGCTTTTTCATCTAACACAAACCATTTGCTCCCAGTCCCCACAATGTGCACGGTTCGGTTTTTTGGTGTTAAAATCGATTTTAGGTTCACACTGGAGTTGCTCTAAGCGCCCTTGGCTTGAGTTTGTTGAGATCCATTCTGAGCCTTGATTTCCCTACTTTTTCTCGGCTTTCGTGATTTGACTTTGTGAATGGATTGGAATGAGTTCTCTCATGTGCTTGGTGAAAATTCGGTGAACTTTTAAGCACCAGCATTCAACCCCAAGTTCTTTTTCATCTAATCTCATAGAGGCTAAAAACTCGTAGACAGCTAAGCTAGGTGTCATTGTAGAGTCTCCAATCCAATTGTGGTAAGCCAGCATCTAATCTCTTAGAGGTTAAAAACTCGTAGACAGTTAGGTGTCATTGTAGAGTCCCCGGTCCAATTTTGGTAAGCCATGGAAAGTTTGTAAATGCTGAGATATTATTGGTGAAAGAGTAGCGCATTTGTAGAACCAGGGTAGAGATGGAAAAGACCAAGCAATCTCTTTATGAGCTACTCAACAAAGAGGTATAATGCCCTTAAAGATTTGAATTTCGAGAAATACATCAGCTTCGCATCTCAGTGAAATCATGCTATCCATATTCTTCTGATTTTTGCTTACTGTTACCGCGAGTAACTAGTTGTTTGTGCTAGTATTTTTTTTTCTAGTGGTATAGTTGTTGCCTTGTTGAGCTTGCTGCTGTAGAATCTATATCGAAAAAAAAAAACCCCACCGCTATCAAGCAGGCCTCAAACCCCAAAAAGAATATTCAGCTCGTAGATGCTAGGGTAAATGTATCCAGAAATATGAGTATTCCTTATTCATTGTTGTTACCTGGTGTTCACCTTGCTGCAACGATCGGTCTTCAACAAGAACCTGTTATTACTTTATAGAGTTTGGCAGGCAGATACAATGGATTGCAAACCGATCATGCTAGCTGCAGGCGGGGGTTGTACAAGTGATCCGTGCAAAATCCACAATCTAATCCTTCTCTTCTTCGGCTGGAGTATCCACCTTGGCTGCCGCAGAAGCGTAGCTCACGCTGCTGTCCCTCATGCTCTTGCACTGGCTTGACTGCTCATACCGAACAAATCCGATCTTGATCTTTGTCAAACAATGTTTCAGCATCTGGAACATTATATTACATAAAGATGATGAAGTTATAGAAGTAGAAATGAAGAGAGAACACTAGTTAGATCGTCACAACGCTTACGCTGAGGAAAACGCTGATGGGGTGGCGTCCACATATGGTATTCTCATACTCTTGCAGGTACTGCTTGAATGCATCTGGATTACCAGTCTCTATTATCTCCATGCCCATGCGGTCCAAGGCCTCTATCGATTTATGTATAGCACCATGGCTCTTATCGTAGTATGTGTAACTAAACCTGATGAGACGATGCGGATGAGCATAATCATATACAGATCCTATAAGATTGAAGTAACAACTACAACTTAGCCTGGTGATGTATCATGGGCAAGCATTCTTTGGTGTCCAATTATGAAATGAATTGATCTGGGCTGTTCAATCACGTTTTCTGCGCTATCAATTAAAGCAGATTCGCCTGACACAGCCTGGAGCAAATCAGCTCCCTTTTTCACTTCCCACCAAAATCTTATGCAAATAAATTGTGTCGTCCCTGAACCGCAAACACCATGAGCCCAAAGCGACCTCCCCCCATCTTCACACTCCTGACAACTCCAAATGCTTGCACACTGGTGATCATCATCATTGGGCGGATAGTGGACCCCAACCTGATCAGGCTAAGCCATGTGGCAGATGTAAACAAGGATACATCTACAGCATCTGGTGTTTCAATTGATGAATTTAGCAGGGAAGCAAGGTGCTGTCACCATCCACCGAAGATGGATTCGAGATTGGGGTTTGCAATATAGTGTTATTACAACACTGTGCCAGGTGGAGTTATTTTTTTCTTTCTAAATTGAGATGGTTCTAGAATCTGCCAATTGGATCTGATGGGTTCTCAAATTCCATCTAATGCCTATATCGATTATTTGAGCCTAAATGTTATTCCACATGACAAGTCGCACTTATGCTAAGTGGCAAGATAAGATACTGCACAACAATAACTAGAGTACTCTGGCTATGAGGGGTTCAATGATAGACAAATGCTGCTCATTCGATGGTACCCTTTTTGTTATTGAGAGCAAATTTTGACATCTACTGAAGTCCAAATTTGTACATACAAGATTCAGATTTTGTACTGAAATTTAAACTTGGAAAGAACCATATTTCTAAGTGTGATGAGGAATTGATCTGAAGAGAGTCATAGCTAAAACTGTTATTATGACATACTATCTACCTTCTGGAAAGAGTAAAAGTAGAAAGACTAAGAATTTGGACAATCTATAGGTCTAATAAAAAAAATATTCGGCAAGAGAACTCTAAAGATTGTGGATTTTATAGAGCTCATTTTAACTAAATTGGGTAGCAAATTTAATGAAAAACCAGGCATGCCAACTCTTCTGCTTTTCTACACGGCCAGATCTTTAGCCTCGAATAGGCCAAACATTGCAAACTTCATTAATTAGTTCTGCAGAACTAGTAGATGACAAATGTGACACAGGACAATGAAAGTTTTCTCACACTAAAGATTACCATAGGAAAACAAGCAAGTTGGCAAATCATGAAAAAGCTGACAGTAGAAATTAAGTATTTACCGGGTTCCCCAGTGGCAGAAATCTGAGGAGATAGAAAAGAAGTTCTTCGGATCGTCAAGATATTTAGAGAGCAACTGCCCATACATGGCTTCATTTTGGGAGTTAAGGGCACCAACAAGGATAGGGACAACTTTTACGTTATGTCTGTAAGATAATAACATGAAAAGACAGAAAATTTAGTGTGGGATTGGTATATTTTTAAACGGGATTACTAGATTGATGCAAAGTTATCAGAAAAGAAAGTACCCCTGAAAAACTTTAGAAAGATAGGGTAAATGCATTTCCATGCTATGTTCAGCTTCATCCACACTAAGGTCCATAAAATCAAATTTTCCTGTAGCGTTGAGTTCCTCAATTACTGCAAAAACAGTATTGTAAGTAAGATACATAGAATATTCAAATAGAAAGGCAATCTATCAACACACAGGATGCAAAATATAATTCAAGCTCAACAAACTATTTCATCTCATATATGGTTTTATCACCTTCAGGAACTCATCGGTCATCACAAAATGAACACTATGGATGAAATTATTCTGGAGGGATTAGAGAACATATTCTTATAACTTTGGAGAGTCGGGGAATCCTTAATAACGAAATTGTGACCATCTGTTTGCTCAATAAGTGGGCTTGGAAGTTGCTCAAAAGGGCTGTAAAGAAGATTGGCCTCAGCCCATTTACAGAAAAAAGGGGTAAGTTGTTTAGTGAGTGCAGGAGGGTCTCAATTCTGGCAAGGTTTAGAGAGTTAAACATTGGTTTAAGTAGGTAACCTTGCAAAAAGTCCAAAAATATTTCCTTTGGTAAGGCATTTGACCTGGAGAGGTGCCTTTCAGAACTTTTTTTCCAATCTCGTATAATTTTGTGATGACCCATTAACTGAGACCCTGAGCTACCCTATCTGGCATGATATACACCGTCCCAAACCAACGCCCTCCATCTTTGCCACATAGAACTTTGCCTTTGTAACCACCTTGGAGAGAAGGCCTAGTGTGCAACATGGCTCCCTCTTCCCCTCAGACCAGACTTATACTAATTTGCTTTTGTTTTTCTCGATAGATGGGTAGAATTCAAACAAAATGCAAGCAGATTGTTGAAGCACAACAGGAAGAGATTTGTTGATACATCATGGATAAGAACCTGCAAAGAATGTTTAGTTAGGGATGTGACGCCCCTACTATCAGTTATTGTGCTAGGAAGGGTATGGGCATGCTCAGCGCTTTAACTGATAGCCTGAGTGTTTTGTTTAGTGAGGTTTGAAGGCTAAATAGTTTGTTTTGGCAACTTGCTTATTTTGTTTATGGCTTATGCTGGTCTGCCTTGCAAGGGTCTTATGACCATGATGTTTGCTTTCATCAATGTAACTAAAGGCTATGCATTGCTACTGATAGAAATATACTCCCTCCGACCCAAAATATATCAACCTAGTACTATACAAATCTAAGACACCACCTAGTACTACGAATCTAGACAGGGGTCTGTCCACATCTGTAGTACCAAGTGGTGTCTAATCGAGTACCACATTCGTAGATATGTGGTTTTTGCATCAAACCAGTTACACATTGTTTGCAACTAGGAGCACTTGACAATGTTTAAGCACATTGAATAATATAGTAGCTCATATAATGTACTGTGTGCCTGTGGCAATTCAATTATATTTGACTAATGTGTGATACTGAAAATTTTCAGGCAACTCAAGAGAAAGTAGCAACGGTAGCAGGTGGGGTGGCAGATTGTTACCACCACTACCTTCTTTTAAACGGGAATCTTAAGCACAAATGGCTCTGTCTGAAAATATAGCAAGTTCAAAACATAAATAATTAATATGGATGGCTGTCTAAAAATAATTATGTTGTAAAATCATATTAGTACTGCTAAAGTGCTAATCATGCATGAAAGGCATATTGGGTCAGATTTATGGCAATACTAATGTTCGTGTTCTGGCCTATAATCGAAGAGAAATCTTAGGTAAAGACCGTAATTTAACAGATTGCATGGCATGTAATATTATGAAAGTAAAATATCCAAGTCAAACAAAAACAAAGCTCAGTAGCAGCATACCTTCATGGTCTACTGGCAAATCCCCAATTGGGGTGCTATAAATAGTAGCTCTTGTTAATGCACATTTTGGAGTATAGTAGTGATGTGAAGGGCCTAACAGGAAGACCCGAGAACTGGATCACATACAGGAAAACATATGAGATAACAGGGCAAAGTGAAAATTAGAATAAAGTAATCAGCTATAATAATGTAAATACTAAATAGTATTTTTTGGGCATTCTTAAAAGCTGAAGCTGATTGTGAATTTCACATTTTGATTTTACATCTCCCTTTTCATGGCTGCTAAGGAGACAAGTAAGAAATCTACCAAAACTATTCTTAAAAATACATATTCAAAATTCAAAAGTAGCAGAACTATTGCAGCGTTCAGAATGAGAGAAGTATATCATATATCTATGCAATAAAAGTGAATGTTTATGATTATCTTGGCGTTCAGTTCGAACAACTGACATAGGATGTTTGGTGGTGAGGAAGGTGTTTAACCTCCTCACTCACCCGGGTTTAAACTCTAGGATTAACACATGTGACCATCTCATTCTTTAGTTAATGCTAGAACCCATGCCCAACTTTCAAAATAAAATAAATATCACTTTACGAATTATACCACTGAGAAATAAAATTACAGGTTGATAAAACGGTACATCTGTGGTACTTTTACATGAAAGCATTCAAGTCAAGGTATTACCGGTACAGCAAGACAGTGATTTACTATTAGAAGATCTGAAATTTTGAAAGAGTAACAGTAATGTGTAAATAACATACATGTTAGTTGGATCAATGTTGCCAAAAGCATAAGCCGCACACCGCCCTGAGTATGAATAGCCAGCATGGCTGTAATGGAAAGAAACAATTGTTAAAATAGAACAGAAGAAATTCACTGTCATATGAATAGTTAAATACCAACTTACGGCGCAATTACTGCCCTCACATCAGGGGACTTGGTGAGACCAGCAGCCCTCAGCCAACCATCAAGTTCCTCATCCAGTTTCCTGGCTAACATGGAGCAATGAATTTAGGAGACGGAGCTGAAGTGGTAAATTGTCGAACAGAAATTTAAAAATAGAAGAAACTGGTTGAGATCCCTGAAATTTTTCTACAAATTACATGCTTTTATTAATTAATGTTGGAAACTGCAGAGCAAGAAGATAATGGAGTCAGCTAGGAATGAATGGTTCGACTCCCAGTGAAACTAAACAGCTCATGTGTTTCTAGAATGGCCTGACAGCTAAAATAAAAGTAAGGCATTTGCATAACAAATAGCAAATGATCCAGTTTCATCTATCATGTCAGGCTACTACGTGTCTGGGCAAAAAGAATAATATCAATCTAACAAGCAGTACCTAAAATGTCATCATGCCTAATAGCACAATAAAATTGATCCATGTCCATACAATAAGATTGCCGACAATTCATTTCTTCTAATGAAAAACTATTCCGAAAGTGCATAATTTATATGAAACCTATATAACAATGGCAAGCGGTTCCTGCATTTGTCTAACAATATACATTGTTCTCACAAATCTGTTGCCAACTCAGCAACTAAATTTGAAGCAAGAGAGCCGTAATGACTGGCGAAATCATCCAAAATGCCCACCAAGCAATTAGAGCACGCATCTTTGGCTAACTATCAAACAGATTATCCACAACAACCTGAAGAACATCAATCACCAACATATCAAGTTATCAAAACAGTTCGAAGAACTGCTGGCCTATTTACACTCCAGATCGGTTAAAACTAACACTCCGAAGGTATGCACTATGCAGCATCCTCTTTTGCATTATGGAAAGCGCACACAATCGAACAAGTCAACACACTCTCCCCTCCCCAACAGACAACACAACTACACAAGTGCACTCCAAGAAGCTAGGCTAGGCCGCGGAATCGAGTAATCACCACCAGCGAACCGGACCCCGTTAATTCCCCAAATCTCGTCAGCAAGAAATCCCCTCCAACCCCTCCCCACTCCCGAAAAGTGGGAGAATCCATCGATCGGATTGAACTAGCAGGAAGTCCCCTCGTCCAACCCCCTCCCCCTGCCCAGAAGTGGGAGAATCCATCGATCGGATTGAACTAGTTGAGATTGCAATAGCGGAGGAGAGTGGATCGAGTACCATTGTTGGTGTACCAAGAGCCGGCGTGCGAAGCCCTCCTCACGCGCTCCATCCCTCACCCCGCAGCAGGGAAGAAGAGCGGTTTCGATGGCGGCAGCAAGGAAGAGGAATCTCTTCCTCACCCTCTCACCTTGTTTTCTTTCCGTTTGGGCTGCAAAATAAAAAAGAAAAAAAATAATAAAGTAGGCCGTCCGGTCCTCCCTCTCTCTCTCTCTCTGCGCTTTAGCCGAAGGAAGGCACCGAATTCAGTTGTGTCGTCACTGGAGGGATGGCAACGGGGCCATCCCCGGTGGCCGGTGGGTAGTGGTACCCCGTCCCCGCCCCCGGACAGCCTGCGCTGAATCCCCCGTTCCCGCCCCCGTCCCCGGCGTCGGGGATGGATTGGCGACACACCCGGAAAAATACAAAGCAGCACAAGGAAAAGGAGCGGAGAAAAACTATTATTGTATCAATTGGGAAGGGGGCAGATTTAGGAAGAATTGATCTATCAAAGTACACATGTACTGTACACGAGTAAATACAGTCTAGTGGTTGCGTGACCTGAGCAGTACCCCGTGTGTCATTTCTCCTCCATCGCCGGCTGCTGCTTGTTGCTCAGACTTGAGAGAGAGACAGAAGAGACGGAGGATTTGGAGGAAGAGGATAGCGAACAGGTGTATTGGCGCACTCGTGGGCGGCGGTGCGACCATGCGAGGGGAATTTTGAAATAAGATTAGTGTTTGCCTCTTGTAGATTCCCAAAAAATTGTGAATATACTTATTTTTTTAATAATTTATGTTTACATACCTACATGGGAAGGTTTTGCATAAATATAGCCGTTCCGCGGGATGGAAACGTGAGATCGCAACGGTCCGCAGCTCCAAAATGCGGTATCGACGATCCCGCGGAACGGTCACGTGGCACCACGACGGTCCTGCAGCTCCAAAATGCAACACTGTTTTGACAATGTTTGAAACATTGTTTAACAGTGTTCACGGGGCGGTCCCGTGGTTCCATAGTGCGGAAACGACCCGTGAACAATCAGTACAGGCACAGCAATAAATCGCTGGCTATCGCGGTGCCGCATTTTGGAGCTGCGGGATCATCGCGGTCCCATGTTTTCATCTTGCGGGACGAGTATACTATGCAAATACTTCCCATACATATATATAAACATAAATTATTAAAAAAGTAAGTATATTCGCATTTTTTTCCTTGTAGATTCAGGGAAATATATACACCACTATATTTATGACCCACCTGTCAGAGAGTAAGCGGGGCACCGAGTGTAGGGCGGGCATGGGGACTGGTGAAACGCCTCCGGCTTCACTCGACGGGGAGGTGTTTCATCCCACTTTATTCCACATGGGGAAAGATTGGCCCCATCCACGCGACCCCTCCCCCTAATAGATGAATTTCACGGCGAGTAAGGGGGGACGGGGCCCATTGCCATCCCTAGTCGTTAGATTCACAGTCACTGCCTCCGGTTGCCACTCCAACTTTCAAGAACTGGAAAAGAAGAGAAGATCTGTAGAGAAAAGAGAAAAAAAAAAGATACTCATGAGGGTAGAACAATACAAGATTGTTTGGCATGGAATTTTGAATTCCTCCATTAGTGTCATCACTCTAGGAGAGAAAGTGTTCTTTTGAAGCTCGATTTTGAGAAGGCTTTTGATACCATTGAACATGAGGCCATCTTGCAAGTCATGAGACCTTTGGGTTTTTGCTCAGTTTAGTTGGGCTAGGTGTTGACAAAAAAATACGACGGCCTGGGAGATATGCCTAACTACAATGCAGGTCCAAGGCTAACCTCGAGTGTATCAAGGGTGTGACAGATAGTTTGATCCTGGAACCAGCAAGGAAAATAATAAACAGAGTGAGTCAGCCGGTAGTAGCTCAGCAGATAGGCCGATCACTTATCGTTAGTGATCCCAGACGATGTAGTTGAACCATATTGGCTATGTATTGGAATATAAATTAAGCACAAACCCTAAATATGCCTCATCGGTTGTAATATCGTCTATTTGGTTTATCAAATGTACTTCAGAGGATACTATAGAAATAGCCGATGGAACAATATTTAGAGCAAGATAGGTAAATAAAGATAATGTACTAGCTAATACTCTAGTATAAATTTATATATACAAACCAATCTATAGAAATATATCAAATAATGATCAACTACCAATTTGGTAACCTGGTCGATACTGATATAGACTTGATATATTTATATAGTTGATATGTGCAAATATACATAAAACTAATGATGATTAATTTCAGGTTAGTTTGTAGGGTTCAAGACAAGACTAGGGATGATGCATCGCAAAGTATGTAAAGAAACCTACTTCATTCAGCTTCCGTATTTTACTTCATTCATATTATCTGAATACGGACTTTATTTCATACTTACGCCAATATAATTGTGTAGCTAGCTTACCTGATGAGGACATCAACACCATCGATACATCCACGTCCCCTCATATACAGCATGATGGTCCTATTACCCGCGCTCGTGCACGTCAACTAAATTATCAGGTGAGTTCTTTCTTGAGTTCATATTCCTCGTCTTTATACCTCGGAGACTCGTGCACTCGTGTTTTACTCAGGAACGATGGAGAGGATCCAAAGGGAAGAGGATTCGCGCGGGGTGGATTCGGACTGCAGGGCAGCGCCAACTTCTGACGGCCGCCACGACTTCATGCGAACTCCGATTTGGGCGTGCAAGTACTTCATGGAAAGCTTATCAAGTCTACTTTCAAATGGATCCAGCCACATGTCCATATCTGTTCTGGAGCGGCCGTAATTGTCATTTTACTCCTGACTATTTTCTGTCCATGGTGTTGCGTCACCTCTTTTGGCCCAATGGGCTGTGTATCCATGTTGGGCCCATTAGGGGCGCGTCCTAGGGTTGGAGCACGACCCTATGGTCGTTCTTCCCCTCTTTTTATACCTCTAGTCGCCGCCAAGAATAGGCGGGTTTTGATGATAGAGATAGCTTCTTGCTACCAGCTCGCAGCGCGCGTGTTGGCTAAACCGCCCGTCTGCCTGTAATCGGAACCCCACCATATTGTGTTTGATAGTGCAATTTCAGTGCTTGTCCTACTTGTTCTTGCTTGTTCTTCGATTGCTTGCAGGATGTCGCGACCGGGAAAATTGCCTTTTCCCGAACGCTAGTGTATTAATCCCCGTCCCAGGAAAAGCCGGGGTACACCACAACAACATGATATAAAAGACACATCTTTATTATATCGATAATATTTACATTATTACAAAGGCACTTAAGGCCTGACAATCAAAAATAAACAGCAGCGGACTAGCGGGCCTACGGCTCCATCTTCACAGGCGCTCAACTGGGGTATAAGCCAGGACTCCACCTAAGACATCTTCTCCAAAGCTTCTCTTACTGAAGAGGGGAAAGATTGAGCAAGAATGAGTACAACCACAGTACTCAGCCAGCCACACCGGCAGATGCATGATTAATGCAAGGGGGGGGGGTACAAGGGGATAATAATATAGGGTTAAGTTTTGCAGTAAACAGCATTTAAAAGTCACTTAGTTGCCCAAAGCCATTTTATAAAGACGATCCTAGAGCTATACAGTATTATTAACCACGGCCGTGAACCCTCACGAACCTGCCTTAACCCAAGGCCTACGATGATTCAGACCGAACTGGCAACCCGACCCTGGGTCCCAGCTCGTTCCAAGCCAACCCAGGCCAACCATTCCACATTTTAGTTGTTGAGCAAATTTTAAGAATTTGAAACACTGACTTGGGTACATTGTTCGGCTTGCCCATAACCGAGGGCGCGGCTATTCGAATAGATTATACTCTGATCAGAGGTGTACATCTTTACCCACAAGACACATCTTCCTCGCGTGCAACCACGTGCCACATACCACCACGGTATACGGACGGAAGACGTGACATAGTTCCCAACCCATCCTAGCCATAAACAAGAGTACCGACCCAATCCCCCTACGGCCGGGACACCCGGGACAGGCAGGCAGGACTGAGCCCCCTAGCAGCAGGGCACCAACCCTCTGCCATGACATCTCGACTACCGGGCCGCAGCTCGTGTAGCCTTCATTTGCCCTGGAGAATGTCCATCGACCCCCGACTTCATCCATCTCCAATCCGTGTACTTTTGTTTATAACCAGACTGAGCCACAAACTAAGCCTTACCCACTAGACATGTGGAAGTACGGTAGTGCTTTGCAACAGAGGCCCAAGCTTAATCCTTATAGTACCCGAGGTACGACTAACAAAACCCAACCACGCACCTCGAGCCCAGCCTAAACCATTTTGGGGGTTTTGAAAAGAGGGGGAGGTGTGTGTCCAATTCCAACATAAGCCAACCATTCCATAGTGTCCAAATGATATGAGAATTCCCAAAGTCTAAAGTTATAAAACCACCTAATGTTGCCTAATTAATCAGCGAAGCATCTACCTAAATTTATACTAGTGGAACCATGAATATAATGTCCACTAGTTAGGGTTTTGTTTATTCTAGGGTGAACAAGGTATTAATATCAATAACAATAATAATAAGGTCATAACAAAGGTAAATAGGCATGGCTAAATAAAACAGTGATAACGCGGGAATTTAAATAAAGCGATAATGCATTAATTTAAATCAAAATAATTTTATAAACTGGGATTCAATATGCTCAAGGATGATGTGACTTGCCTTGCTCGCTTTCCCAAACGCCGGCTTCAACTTCCACGAAGAGCGGATCTTCCGAAGCTGCAGCGTCTACACGACCAACGGAAAAGAAAAGGCTTTTACTCTAATAAACTCCACATAACAGCAGAAACAAAGCACAAAAATGGGTTCTTGACTTCTTAAGGAAAAATTAGAGACTTGAACGGTCCAATTCCGAGTTCAAATGGCCAAGATATGGCCATTTGAAGTTTATATGCTCTTTAAATGGATATTTACGAATTTCTTCATTTAAATTTTAATTAAAAACCGGGTTTATTGCGTCAGCCGAGGGAGGGGCGCGCGGACCGGGTCCACGGGAGTGGGGCCCACGCGTCAGCCTCTCGGTCCACGGTGGACCGGGCGCACGCGGCTGACGGCGGCCGGCGCCGTGGGTCCCACGCGTCAGCCGCACCCGCGGGCGCGGGCGGCTGACGGCCGGGCCCACTTGGCAGCCGCGAGGGCGCGCCCGAAGGCGGCCTCGCCGGCACGGCCGACGGGAGAACGGCGCACCCGCGCCCCGATGGTCGCCGCCGGCGACCAACGGCGCGGCGGAGTGGCACCCGAGAGAGAGGAGGGAAGGGGGAAGCGAACGGAGCGGTCCACGGCTCACCCCGATCGACGGCGACGACGGGAACGGCGGCCGAAGCGGAAGAAGGCGGCGGCGCGGCTCGGGACGACGAGGACGACGGCGTTCCGGCGGTCGGCGAGCGAAGCGGAGGGGCGGACGAGGT